TCTTCCACCCCCAAGATGGCAACACAAGCAATGCTAGGCTAGGCTAATGTCAAGACCAAGGAGCTTCTTCAGCTCTTTCAAAAGGGTAGCAGCATGCCAAACACTTAAACCATTTTCCGATGCTTTTCCTTGGCCAGGAGGAGCTGGAGAGCAAGTGGGGCAGCTGGATCTCAACCTGGGGCCCACATAGGATGCCAGCGTTGTAGTCTTAACAAATTACAACATCAGCCTCAGACCTCCAATGACTGTGCTAAGTAAATGAAGTAAATGAAGCTAGACAGAAGAGTTCACATACTGTATGATTGCATTTATAGAAAAGGCTGGAAATGGACAGTTCTGTGGAGACAGAAACTAGATTAGGGGTTACCACAACGTTGAGGAGACACAGGGAATCGGGAATGATTGTGGGATTTGGGAAGGGTAGTGAAAATATTTTGAAATTATTTGTGATGGTTATACAAATTTGTTAATATTACTAAAAACCTCTCAATTGTATGTATGTCATATTTATTATTTGAAAAAAAAGTTTTTTAGAGAGATGAGTATTATAACCTTCAACTAATTTTTTATGCTGTCTAGCAGCCTACATTTTGCAGGAAGGAGCTTTTGTGGTTGGCAGCAATGAAAAGTTTAATTGCATGACTTGTATGTTATTGAAAGTCATGACACTTTCATTTGTCAGTTTTCAATTCTAGTCAGTTTTGAAATTAGTGCTTTCTGCCAGCCTCTCATTCAAAGTTGTGGTTTAGGTCAATAATGAAGAAATACTTACTGTTCAGACATTTGTGAAATTAAGATTGGGTGTAAATATGAACTAACCCACTGAACATGCAGAGCTTCTTGCAAAATATATTCTTCATATTAGAATAATTAAAGATTACTCTCCCAAGCCAGGGAAGTCACTTTTACTGAAACTGTTTTCAATTCATTTATGTAGGTGGCAATTTTATGTCAGTTCCTCAGAGAAATAGACTACAAAACAGCCTTTAAGTCACTACAGGAACAAAACAGGTATGCATGATCTTTAAAATAAAGAGATTGAACTTTTTTTTTGCTGAAGAGAAACTAACTGAATTCTGTTTTTCAGTCATGATGCTATGGACTCCTACTATGACTACATATGGGATGTGACCATTTTGGAATACTTGACGTGTATCCTTTCCTGAACATCAGTCATGTTAGACTCAAGTATTTCATATCGTGTCTTTTTTCTTACCAAAACTGAAAAACAACTAAGTATTTATTATATAACACTGTCAGATTTTTTTTTCCTTAATTGATCTATTTAGATCTTCATCATAAAAGAGGAGAAACAGATAAAAGACAGATTGCGGTAAGTTATACCATTCTTTAGTACTATACTCGATTTCTAGAATACTAAACAGTTGCTAAAATTTGGATCAACAAAAAAGATTCTGTGCTCAGTTACTGCCAAAAATTGGCTATCATTGTTTACTTATTAAAACTTCCTTTCTAATAACATAAGCTGTTCTGTCTCAGTTTATCTTAACATGTTATGTCATCTGCTGCAAACCTCCAGATGGTTTCTCATCTCAGTGTACTCATGTGACCTGATCCCTTGTTAACTTTTCCTGTGCCAGTACGCCTGTTCTTCTTGAACATGCCCAGAACATTTCCCTGCCAAAAGTCTTTAGAAAACTTTCCAGATCTCTGCTTTGTCGCCTTGTTAGCGATTATCCTGTCCTGCCCATTTTATAAAATAATGTCTCACAGGAGAGTGGAGGGAAGGGCAGGGAGAAAAGCTTCAACCTTGTTTTCCTCCTAATACTCTTATTTTTCATTTTGCTTTGAAATTTTCCACCTGTAACTTGTAACATATGATAACTGTTTATTTACTGATTTATTGTTGCATGACAGCAAGGACTTGGTTCTGTTGTAGTTAATAACTAGACTGGTGCTTGGCACATAAAAAGCGCTCAGTTCCTGAGTAGATGAATGGCTAACTAAGGTTTGACTTATATTCATACTCCAGTGCATTTTAAATGTTATGACCAATTTTATTTTCCTAATATTGGATGCATCAGTATCATCAGAGTTTTTTGAGATTTTTTTGTTTGGCTGGTCTTTTTGCTTGCTTGTTTTGGTTTTATATTTCACTTATATTAGCAAAAGTATTAAATGGTTATATTGTTTTTTGTTTGCTACTTTAAAATGTCTAGGAAACACCTTGAGGAAACATCTACTTTGGCCTGTGGTTTGGAGGTTCCATGGCTTCAGATCAGGTGGCCTCATCAGTCAGGGCGAGCCAGAAAGCAGAGGCAGACGAAACACAGGGATCATGCTTGCCTGCCGTTCTTTGTGTAGTTTCTCCTTAAGAGTGTTGTCATGATTTATTCATGAGCCTCCACCCTAGCACTTACCCAAGCTAATCACTTCCCAAGGGTCCCACCTCCAGACACCATAATTGAGTCAATCGCTTACTTTAAAACTCTGGTGATTAATCCAGTCACCATTAACTTAAGACCTTGAAGTAAACAAATACAAGTTTGCAATAGGGGTTCTTCAAAGTCAGTGGAGAAATGGAATTCAGATAAATGTGGGATCCAGTGTAGTGGCCTGGCGTGTTCAGTTGCTGCTTGTGATGCCAGCATCCCAGGGAGCACTGGTTCACATCCAGACTGCTCTTTTCGTCCAGCTCCTTACTAATTTGCCTGGGAAAGCAATGGAATGACCCAAGTGCCATCCTGCCCCCCTCATGGGAGACCAGATAAAGATCATAGCTTCATCAGTTGTTGGCTCAAAGGTCACAAAATGCCAGGCAGTTGATCCTTCTATTTCCTTCCTTCTTGAAATCCTTTATTTTCTTTGGCTTCCCTGACATTTTTATTCTTTTCTCTGATTGTTTTTATTTTTATCTCCTTGAGCCTTAATTTATTTTTTTGGAAGATTTCTGATTTATATTCTGTAAGTAACCCAATCGGTTTCTTTTTTAAACTGCTACTCACGTGTTATTTTTCTGATGTGTGGAAATTTCAGCTGTCTTACACTTGGGATTTTTGTAGCCAACCCTCTTTGGGATACCTTATTTTAAACCTTTTACATAGAACATATTACCAGCCTTTGCTACATGTATTCCATCATACCTTCTTACAACTGACTAAGAAACGATTGCCATTTCTCCAAGCCAGCCACATATCAGGATAGTCTTCGTTTCAATATAAATATGGAAAGCCTAAGACCCTACAGCATTTTCTTATAAAATACTCTGTAAAACTCTAGATATTAGAAGATTGAGATACATCTTTCTAACTATAAAATATTGAGTGCTGAGCAACTGTATTTTTGTATACTGTAAAATAAGCATGAACTTTTCAACATGTTATGTGACACTTTCACCATAAAACATGTAGTGTGTTAAGTTGCCAGAGCTAATTGGTATTTTCAGCTAAGGAAACATGCATGAACTTAGATATTTATAATTGTAAGATATAGGTCAGCTGGTCTGTACTTTAAGAGTACCTCTAGTCAATCTTTGTTCATCTTTTCCACCAGTCTTAATTATTAATCTTTTGTTAGCTTTATATTGTAGGTACTAGAAAGACTTAATTCCTGACCATTCCTCTACTAACATAACTTTTCTGTTTTGGAAGATCAAAGCTATCGGCCAGACAGAACTGAATGCAAGCAATCCAGAAGAAGTGCTACAGCTGGCAGCGCAGAGAAGGAAAAAAAAGTTTCTCCAAGCAATGGCAAAACTTTACTTTTAAACAGTTAGTTAAAAAATTTTTTAACTTTTATTTTAATAATGAGTTAAAAATAAAACAGTATTAAGAAATGATTTATATAATACATATGTACACAGTGGTGTTTTCAGACAAAAATACTGAAACAAACACTAGTTTAAAAACAAAAACTATACATTGGACTTCATACCATAACAATAGCTTAATTTTATAGTTTCTTCAGAGGGAGAAGAGATTCACATGTCCAACAAAACAAACTAGCAGTGTTTTCTCTAATTATACCTACTTTTTGAGGATCAAATTTTTGTGAAATTTCATATTATAGCAAGTTCTTATGCCTTTTTTAAAAAAAATAAATAACTTCTCGGCATCAGTATACATTTAATATTTTTCTGCCTTAAGACAATACAAGGTCAAGTCAGATGTTAGCCTGTGACTTTGACATGTGTCCTAATTCCATACATAGGAATTTAAAAAGAACTTTAACAGTTTTGTGAATATAAATAAGCCTTTTTTAAAAAAGGTCTTTAGGGATATCTTAGAGTAATAAAGTGACTTTCTCATATAAATAGCTTGAAAGGAGGGTACTTAAGTTCTTCACCCAAATTGTGATATTCACAAAGATGATAAAGCACCTACATGTCCCATAAAGCTCCCCAGGCAGGAGCCACAGCATCTAATTTCTTTGGTACTCCCACTGTTAGAGCACTATGTTCATCTAAGCCTTACTAGTGAAAAAGTGTTATGGCAAGGCAAATAAACTAGTTTAAAAAGAGAGATTATATTTCACCATTTGTAACAATTCAAGTCTTATAATAGCTTGCTTGCTATAGCAGCTATAAATTAGTCACCTTATTACAAAACTGAACTTATGTAAACACATTTAAATTTTACTTTCAAGAACCAAATTGCACTAGTTGAGTGTAGGAATTTTGAGAATCTAAAAGCTAGATACAAAACACTATAACACACCCCTTTAAGATAGCATTTATCTAGCCCAAACTTCAATGATAAAATTCCTAGATTATCAAGATAAACATCATAACACTGGATCAAAATAAATTGCCATGGCATAGCTCCTTCTATCCAGTAATCTTGGGAATGAAGTCAGCTTTGTAAACAAATTCTGCTGTTTCTTTAACAGCTAGCATAGGAATTAAATTTCTTCTTCAGTGCCAATTTTAAATGATATTAAAGAATGGCAGTGTAACTTTTGAATTGGCTAGGACAGTGATAGTTCAGTTGTATGAAATTCTACCCAAAACGTGGGTCAGTTCAAACTTGTTGAAGTCAGCTTCAGTGTTTTCCTGGTGGTTTTTCAGTGCTCTTCGGTGGTGTCATAATGCCTCCACTGCACACTGGTGATAGCTGGCCCCCTTTTCTGAAGGAGTTTACATAATTTACTTCATCCTGTAAATGTAAACAATTCATGCAATAATTAACCAGCTAAGATAAAATACTGATATAGTCAGTGAAGTAAAATGAGACTTCTAAATACCTATTTGAGATTATTCAGGCTTAATACTTGTATAATGGGCCTATGTTATACATTTGCAACTGAGTAGTCATTCTGAAAGTTCAGTGACATGTTTCATTTATATATGAGCTGTCTTTAGTCTCACCTAGACTAAAGATGCATTAATCCTATCAGTAACATTGATCCTGAAAATCAGATTGTGCTCTGAACTTAAAACTTTTACATTTTGAAATCAACATTATCTGTCAGAACTTTGTTTCCTCTTACCATCTTACATAACTGCTATTGCATAGTATCATCACTTTCAGTTTCAGCAACTTACTACACTTTTGACCAAAAAATCCTATAAACATACCAGCATAGCCAAATAATTTGTATGTGTTTGGATATTATGTCTGTCTTCTGCAGGAATCTTCTTAAAAGTCTTCAGCTTCACTGGAGAAGTACTTTTCACTACACTGACAAACGGCGCCATCCAGTCTACGCATGCTGAAATGTTGTCCCATTCCAAACCTTGACAAAAAAAATGGGTGAAAAAATGATGATTTTCTATCAAAAACTATCTAAGAGGGAGACAAGAGTTCTCATCTGTTCACTTCTCATATGTCTGCAATGATCAGGAATCAGGACTGAGTCAGACTTAAAACCAATTATTAAATTTGAGTCTTCCACACTGAGAGAGATCCAACTGTTAGAGGCATCACTGGTGCCATGTAGAATGACCTGTGCTACCAGGAGTCAGAGTCAGGAATTAAACCAAGGTACTCCATGAAAGGATGGGGGCATCTTAGGTTGGGCATTTGGCCTAGCAGTTAAGGTTGCTTGTGTCCCATTTTAGAGAACCTGCTATAATACCCACTCTCTGGCTCCTGACTCCAACGTCAGCATCTTACTAATGAATACTGTAGTACATGTGGGCTAGATTGTAATTCCAGCAACCAGTATTCACTCCCACCTCACAATTACCATGCCCTTGTGAGCTTCATGGGAGCTCATTCTCAAGTTTACTAGGTCGAACACAGTCTAACGGGTAGGGAATTTGGGGATGGAGTAGGGGAAATCCCAAAGCCTATGGAATTATCATAAAATCAAAAATAAAATAAAAAGGGAAAACAAGTCTATCTTGAAAGAGAAAAGGGTAGTACTCTACATTATATGAAATTCAAATGGTCAAACCCCAGAGAATTAGAACAGAAATGAGTTTGGCTTCTTTTGGGGGGTTGTGAGGGGATGGATATATAATGAGGAATGGAAAATACTTCTAAGAAGAAGGTAGCCACTAAACCTTTTTTTTCCTACTAATTTGAAATTCAAGTTTAGCAGAATGTTACAATTCACAGATTACACAGTCCCATTAAATGGTGTCAATAGGAAGAACATACAAAATAGAGCATTACCTGAAGCTTTCTTAACCACCTGGATGGAGGTAAAATGGCACAGGGCAGCAGCAGCCAGGATCCTGTACTGGAATTCTAAGGAATCCACGGCCAAAACACACAAATCTAAAAGCTAACAAAGGGAAGACAGAAGTATAAGTAATTAGGGGGAAGGCTGTAAATATTACATGTTTATACATCAGTCATCTAACATTTAGAGGGCTTATTATATGGACCCTATACCAGGAACTGCTAAAGCTGTGAGGCTCCAGAGAAAACAAGCCACCCTGACGAAGTCAGGCTTTGAGATAGTAAGAGAAAGGGATGGCTGCATTGTACTAGAATAGAATGAAAGGTACCTACTCCCAACTTGGGGAGACAGTGAAGCCTCCTATCACTTTAAATGAGTTAAAAAGACATAGTTATCAGGAAGCTTTGGAGGCAGGGAATGACCACATGTACTCAGAACTCATACTTCAGGACACCCAGAGTTGGCTGGTAGATCTAGATGAGATCTTTACTAAGAACACTGTTCAGTAGGCTGAAAAGTTCAGATTAGGAAGATTGTAGACTAGCAGGGAGCATTAGGTAAGAGACAGTATAATGCAGGCACTAAGAGCTGAGTATGTAGTAGTGGAGGCAATAAAAGGGCTAGACATGCCAGAGCTTTTGAGGTGATACCTGTCCAGTGGAACAAAATGTCCACATTAATCCGTTACACAGAAAAATTGGAAGTGAAATATTATTACTATATACCTCTAGAAACTGGTTCTATGTTGTTTTATCTATCAAAAGGGCATCATGGCTGCCTATGGCAATCTGGGATCCTGGGAATTCTGACTGGAGCAGTAAATATTTATTATAAAGTTACCTGAACTAATTCAATTCTAATATAAATAAATCTTACTGAGTGACCCAACACTCTTTCCCAAATACAATTTTCTTGTTCCATATGTAAGATTTTAATATCCTACATGGAATAAGAACGTAGATTTTCTTAATTTTTTTTTTTATTTTTTTTATTATTTTTTTTTTATTGGAAAGGCGGATATACAGAGAGGAGATACAGAGAGGAAGATCTTCCATCCGATGATTCACTCCCCAAGTGAGCCGCAACGGGTCGATACTATGCCGATCCGAAGCCAGGAGCCTCTTCCGGGTCTCCCACGCGGGTGCAGGGTCCCAAAGCTTTGGGCCGTCCTCAACTGCTTTCCCAGGCCACAGGCAGGGAGCTGGAAGGGAAGCGGGGCTGCCGGGATTAGAACCGGCGCCCATATGGGATCCCGGGCGTGCAAGGCGAGGACTTAACCACTTGCGCCACCGCGCCGGGCCCGATTTTCTTAATTTTGCATGTGGCAGAGTTTGTGTTCCTAAGTTGTTACTTGTGAGAAATATTTGTTGTATGCTGACCTAGGAAAGATTAGTTTGAATTTAGGGACTGGCATTGTGGTGTACTGGGTTAAGCCTTGCATGTGATGCTGGCATCCCATATGGGTTCCAGTTTGAGACCCAGCTGCTACATGTGCAATCCAGCTTCTTGCTTATGTGCCTTGGAAAGCAGTGGAAGGCAGCTCAAGTGTTCGGGCCTCTGCTCTCACATGGGAGACCTAGAAGCAGCTCCTGCCTCCTCTGTGGCTCCGCCCTGGCTATTGCAGCCATTTGAAAAGTGAACCAGCGGATGGAAGATACCTCTCTTCGTCTCTAACTCTGGCTTTCAAGTAAAATAAAATATTAAAAAAAAAAATTGAACTTAAATTTTTAAAAAATCTATAGCAAAATAAAGTGATTTTAAATCTAACATGTAACTTAATAGTGTATTATCCAAGTATAAAGAATATAAGGGAATTATACAGAATGATTCTGTGCCATCATAAGGCCTGTGTACCTTTTCTGGATTCCTAAAGAATGAAAGCAATCAACTTTAAGGACTTTGTTTTTCAGGGTCATTAAACAAAACATTGAAGAAAACATTACATATCAGAAGTTTTGCTCCAATTAAGGATTGAATTCAAAAGATCATTGTTATTTGTATAGCCTATATTTAAGACTGTACATACTAAAGAAACTTGTGATTTTTAACATTAGTAGATGTTCAAATGTCAGTACCTGAGCTATTTGAATGAACGTTTCCTGAGAATATTGAGGTAGAAGAACTTTAGGAGCATCTTTAAGAGCATCAACTTGAAGAAAGAGGTTCAGCCATGAGATGATTGTTACAGGACATAGTTCCCAGTTTAAAGCCTGTTAATGAAATTTTAAAATGCTTTTGTTAAACAGTGTAGGCACATAGACATTCTGTAACAGCATTTAAAAGCTAATACTTTACCCAATTAATTAATCTTTTTAACTGGATAAGAAATTCAGCCATAATTACTGTTTTACTAGGTTGCAACTAGAAATAAAAATGTAATCATTAATACCTTTAGTATAACGAGTTCCATCCTTAAGATATCTTCTTCACTGCAAGCACCATCAGTGACATAAGCAAACTCTTGGAGTTTAGGGGCATAGATTTCCTTGAAAGTAGAATTTTTCATTAAGCACAAATGAGATCAACAAAATAATTATAAACTATATAGGTTTCAATTTTAAGGAAAGCTTCACAGTGACTGTAAATCTTGGTCTAATAATTCTATAGCCAGAATAACATTGTTTTTAAGACAATCAAGATTCAATAAGGTCTAGGAACAAAAACCATTTCCTTTACCCTTATACAAAAATGGAATTAAAACATTTTACGTTCAGAAAAGTATGACTAGAATGATCAAAGGATTACAAGAGGGACCAGCACTGGTATTGTGGGTAGAGCTGCCGCCTGTGATGTTGGCATCCCATATGGACACTGGTTCATGTCCTGGCTGCTCCACTTCCCATCTATCTGCTAATGGTGTAGGAAAAGTAGCTGAAGATGCTCCCCATGCCAGAGTCCCTACCACCATTGGGAGCCCTAGATAAAGAGCCAGGCTTCCACCTGGACCAACAGGTGAAGTCTCTTTCAACTATATAATAGTAAATAAAATCTTATTTTAAAAATTGTCACATTAGTGAATAGGCTTTTAGTATAAAAACAGGTTTTTTTAGGGTTAAAGGAAAGAATATATTTGAATCATATAAGCAAACAAGAAGGTATTACATAAGAATATCTATATATATATCTTTGACAAGTGTGCATTAAAGAAATCTCTAATATAAAACATTTACAATGTGGAGAATACTTTTTCAAGATAAAGAAAAAAACTGTTAAGACAGGCACACCCACAATTCATAAACATGTTTATGAAGATAAAATGCCACTGACCCCATTTCTCAGATGTAAAAAAGCTGCAAAATTGTTAATTACTGGATACTGCCTTTCATTTTGCATTGAGTTTCAACACTGATTGCTATGAATTCTCAACTACTGTTATTTTTCAGTTTTCCTGCATGAATGCATCTATTTAGTATGAATACTTAAAACAGCAACATTATTTGCATTGAAGTCACCTTTGATGTCATTTTAAATTTAAAAACAGCATTATAACTAGAAAGTTTTTACACTTGATCTGAACCAAAAGACTGAGAAGCGAATAGAAAGTTTTTACTACAACATATAATGCTTTGGAAGATCTCAAACTCTCAATCAACATGTTCCATCAACCATAAGTATGATTTAAGGAACCCTAACTTAAAGAAAAAAATCACAGATGTGAAAAAATAAAGATCTGCATATATTTGGGCTGGTGGGAGTGGGTTGTGAAGATTTAGTGGGACCTTATTAGAGAATTTTATAACAATTTCAGTTCAATAAAGTCTTGTATCTTGCTGTTATTGAAAGCAGTTTCTTTAGTCACTTAAGTATACCCACAAACAAGAAAAAACATACTGTTTTTTCACCCGTAGATATTTGAAACAGTATGATTTCGGGTAAGGTTTCTCAGAATATAAACTTGGGTAGTAGATATGGCAGATTTGGGGAACAGCCTTAGCTCAATAGTGAAGAAAAAAATATATACTTAAGTGATATATGGTCATAATTGTCCTTTAACCGTAAAATGATACCCACCACAAAAATTGTCAACGAAAAACAGTGATGCTATCCATAATGTAAATGTTTCAGAAAAGCAAGTAGATGGTGGCAGCACTGTGGAGCAACAAGCCAATTCAAGTCCCAGTACAGTTTCCAATGCAGCTCCCTGTTGGTGTGCCCACGAAGCAGAACATGCCAAGTACTTGGGCTACTGCCACCAATAATGGAGACCTAGATGGAGCTCTGGTTTGTCTGCCGATATTGCACCTATTTGGGGAGTGACCCAGGAAATGGAATCTCCCTTATATAAATAAATTTTTAAAAATAGAAATATGAAGGAAAAATCTCAAGCAGGAAAATAAATGCCTTCATGGTGCCATCATCAGATACAAAAATATAGGTCAGATAAACCATTATTCTAACCAGTTTGTAACATTTTGCACATAATTTGCTGTTTAGTTTAGCTCACTGTGCTACAATGCTGGTCCCAGATGTCCCTTTTCTGTTGAAGCCAGGAGCCGTAACCACTATTTTTTCGTGGGATATATCTAAATACTAATTTCTAAATCTACACCAGAGACCAGTAGTAATAAGCTCGACCACTAGAGAAGAGCTAGGAGAATTTACTCTTCTGTTATAATGTCTAGAAAATAAATGTGCTGAGGAACAGAACCACTCACCTTTTCTAAGTAAATATGAAAAAAATAATCATCTTTGGGATTAATGTGCTAATTAGGAAAACAAGTTTTCTATTCATATATCTATGAATAAGCTTTAAGAACTTACCTCAAGTTTGGAAGCAATGAATAATGAGGTAATTCCAATGAGCTGAAGCATATTTTTATTTATATCCTTTTGTGTCAACATAAATCTATCAAAAAAGTCTTGTGCAAGATAAAACGTTTCTCTGTGAAGTGTATATACTTCGCATACCTAGAAGAGTCCAAATGTTTAGATATTTTCTCCAAGTTTCTAATTACAAAGTCCTTTCAGTGTGCCAGACTTGACTTTTAAGCCAAACAAATTAGCATGTACAAATAGAAGAAACCTGTTACCATTCTACTTTACTCTTACTAGCTTTATTGTTTTTTTCTCCATGTTTTTACCTTATTTTTCATATTTTACTGCATTGGCTAGTATAAAGGAATATTAAATAAATAATGATAAAATCTTAATGTTTCCTTCTTGTTGCTAATAAATATCCATCATTTTCCCCTTATAAGAAATTATTTTAAATCTCACAATCCTGTAAAGTAGGTATCAACATTATCCACAATCAGAAATGAGGAAACAGACAAAAATACATGGATTCCTAATAACTCTGCTTTACAGTCAGTAGAGAAGGCAGATGTTTAGCCCTTGTAGTTAAGCGGCCTGCATCTTCTATCACAGTGCCCGAGTTGAGTGTGATGTTTGACTCCAGCTTCCTGTTAACGAAGACCCTGGGAGGCACCGGTTATGGCTCAAGTGATTGTATTTCTGCCATAAGGGAGATGTAGATTAAGTTTATGGTTTCTGTTCCAGTATTGCTAGCATTTGGGGAGTGAACAAATGAATGGAAGCTTGCTCTTTCTCTCTTTACCTCTCAAATAAATAAATCAAAGATAAATGTTTTAAATTTCACAAAACATTTTTTGCATCTGTGATATCCTAAGAATTTTATAATTTAAACTATTAAGAAAATAAATTAGTAGGGTTTCCAATTTTTGCATTCCTAAACAAAGAATAACACTGCTGACTTATTTAATTGATTCTAGGATCACTAAAGGTTTGGAAAAAGAAAAATCCTATCACCTTCTTGAATCCACATGATTAAAGCTAATATTTTCTTTTAGTCACAACAAAGACTTAAGATGACCTTATAGCTTTTACAGTCTATGCTGCCATGTGCTATTCCATCAAAAAGCCTATAGTCTTCCTTCCTTCCTTCATTGTCATAAAGCACAAGAGTTGTAACACAATTGATTTGTCTTCCACATGAGCAATCATTTATCCAAAAATAAATTTGAGTTTTTAGTATTATCTAAAAAGGACTAACAAGAGCAGAAATTCTGGCACAGATCAAAAGGGATTCCAGCATCATAACTCCCTTAAATTAATGGCAGAGTATATCTCTGAAAAGAATGTAAGTACATAATAAAGGGACACTAACAGAGGGCCTTGGCTAGTCAAAGTTTCATTATTGTTTAGGACATAGAAATCAGGTTTCCTAATCACAATGCAGATTTTTAAGAAAGCAGGAAAGAACTTCTGAGGGCTCAAATACCTAGTGCTGGGTGTGTTGCATAGCAGAATTCAAAACCTCATCAACCATATATTTTCTACAGGGTTATCTACAAACCCTGAGCCAGTGCCTGGTACATAGCAATGCCCCCAGAGGCTAGGAATTCTGAATTGGATTTAGGTTATATATAGTGTTTTTGCTGTGTCTGTATTCTTACTGTCATTTTTTTACCTTGGGTACCATCAGTTACAATAAGTAAACCCCAAAAGATGGGCCTGGGGATACCTGGAGAGCAATTTAACCTTTATTTTCTTCCATCACAACAAAGGAAATTTATATTTTCTCAAACGTACCTCTAAAAGCCAGTCTAGAAGTATTGACCTCATTTGTGGTTCCAAGTCAGAATGCAGCATTTCAAAATGCTTGTCATGAACATATCTGCTTTCCTTTTTTAACATGTTTAGCCAAACCTCTTTTGAACATCCCCAGCTATGGAAAGGGAGAAAAATAACAATTTAAATGTGTGATCGATATAAAACATGTTTTATATATAATAAAACTTTCAAATGAAATTTGGAAGAAGCTTATTAATTATAGGGAAAAATAATTAATTTTAGAAAGATTGATTTATAAAAGCCAGGAGCCAGGAACTCCATCCTGGTCTCCCACATGGGTGGCAGGGATTCAAGTACTTGGGCCATCTCTGCAGACCTTCCCATGTGCATCTGTAAGAAACTGGACCAGAGGAGGAGTAGCCAGGGCCCAATTAGTGCTCTAATGTCGGGTGCTGGCGGCATTACAAGCAGCAGCTTAATTTACTGTACCATAGTTGGCCCTACTGTAATTTTTAGAAACATTTCAGATTTTCCATCAAAAAGTAAAAGCCTGAAATAACACACCAATAATGTGGACTGCAATAATTGGTAGATTCTGGGCCTGGTGTGGTGGCCTAGTGGCTAAAGTCCTTGCCTTGCAAGCACCAGGATCCCCTATGGTCACCGGTTCTAATCCCGGTGACCCTGCTTCCCATCCAGCTCCCTGCTTGTGGCCTGGGAAAGCAGTCAAGGACAGCCCAAAGCCTTGGGACGCTGCACCCATATGGGAGACCCATAAGAGCTGCTAGCTTCGGATCAGCTCAGCACCGGCTGCTACAGTCTCTTGGGGAGCGAATTGTTGGACTGAAGATATTTCTCTGTCCTCCTCTCTCTATATATATCTGCCTTTCCAATAAAAAAAAAAATGATTGGTAGATTCTAAGAGTGCTTTACAGAGCTGTCATCACAGTGTAGCCTATTAACCATCTAGCATCTCAAACCAGCACTGGTTTAAGTCCCGGCTGCTCCACTTCTCTTCCAGCTCCCGGCTAATGTACCTGGGCCCTTGCACTCATGTAGGAAACCCAGTTGAAGCTACCAATTGCTGGTTTGGGCCTCGTTCAGCCCTGGCTATTGCAGCCATTTGGAGGGTGAATCAACAGATGGAAGATTGGTCTTCATGTATTTCAAAGAAATAAATCTTAAGAAAATGCTTTTCACTCCCACTTTTAAAATGTATTAAGGGTTACTTTTAAAGTTTTTTTGTTATGAACGGTAGTTACATGTTAAAGCATATGATCACAAGAGAGACTAGTCTCAGTCACCTGCAAACAGATCCTCAATAGGAGAGTCACCTACACTGGGGTAAGATGGATCAAACTGTGGGATAGGGAGATTCATGTCTTCTGTTCATTTTCTTGGCTAAAGCCAAAAATAAATTACTACACTGTTTTGTATAAGCTGTACCTCTTACTCAAGGACTGGAAAAAAACACAGGCAGCATACATCAGTTTCAAACACTTTCTAGATTAATATTTTAGGTAAGTTATTTAAACTATTTGGAAGGCTGTGCTGGGTGAGTTTTCTGGTACAGCAGTTAGAGCACGGCTTTGGATGTCTGGACCCCATGTTGAAAGTACACAAGTTCAAGTCCTGCCTCTGCTTCTAGTTCCAGCTTCCCACTTACACACCTGGGAAGCAGCAGGTGATGGCTCAGTGAGTGAGTCAGTCTCTGCCTGAGTCCCGGCTGGAACCCCAGGTGCCTGTCTCTGGCCTGGCTCATTGGTGGGTATTTATATGGAGAGTGAAGCAGTGGATGGCAGACCTGCATGTCTCCCTGCCTTCCAGAACAATTATATTAAAAAGAAGTTCTTGGAAGTTTAATAATAGCAGATAGGAAAATAATCTTATTGACTTATATCTTAACTCCAATTTGAGTGAATAAAACTACTTGATACAGTGATACATGTTTAATAATTATTAAGGAAAGCAGTTTTTCAAATGAGCTTTTTCTTTATATCTTTTGAAAGCAAAAGATATTTCAAAATAATATCACATATTAAATCAGCACAATTTTAATGTGATACAAAATGACTGAATTTTTTTTCTTACCTTAAGTCAGGCAAAGGTGAAGGATTAATAAAAAGGTTTGTGAATCTGTAATTTGTAAATCTAGAGAAATCACTTGTTCCTATTTCTTTGTGAGGTGTCTCAATAATAATGCAAGGACTGACTCCGCCAGACAATACAGGTGGCCAGCAATTCTGTCAGGGAGGAAAAAAAAAAAGCTATATGTGCAATAGGAAACCTTAGCTTTTGTTCTGCATGTTTTATAACTGAAAGCTAATATTTCTAGACCATCTGTAGTTTTAGCTCATATAGCTGATAATCTAGCTAACCTGACATTCAGATTTTATAAATAAGACATATATCTCTTTCGGTCTTCATACACAGTAGCAGGATGTTTAGACAAGAATTCTGGTAATAGAAGGCATTCAGTATTAAAACAGAAGACTAAGAACAAAATACATCTTTTGTATAAAATGCTAATCACCTTCACGATCACATAAAATGCAGCTGTCTATTTAGAAATAGCAGGAGTACTTTTTAAGAAAAATCCTTAAGCTGGTCCTGATATTTTAGAATACTTGAATGCAAAATTTTAAAAACAGAAGCCAGTTGGATCAGTTACTTAAAGGACCCCTTCTCCAGTAATGCTGGGTCTCCAAAGGGACTTACTGCCTCTAATGTACGTTCTGTACAGCACCTAGGGGGAAGAGGTGGCCAAGGGCTGGGCTGCCGGCCCTCAAAGATCTCACATGGCATTTGTGCCCAAGAAGCAGCTACAAGGCTCCTGCATTGCCGTCTGAGCGGGAACAAAGAGTATACTGGATAGATTAGGCGGGCCCTGGTGCACCAGGCATTTCCAAGAGGGAGGGATTTACAGAAAGGAACCAGCTGCTTCAAGGCAAACTACTCCGCAGCTGTAGGAGGAATAAAGCACACAGAAACCACCGAAAGAGAAGCCCCTTCCTGCTAACCTTCAGGGACACACAGAGTCCAAGAAAGCTGTACAGAGATCCTCCCACTGCCAAACAGCTAACTCCTAAGTCTGTTCGTAAGGCTCCAGTATCCTGCGTGTGTCCCCCCTCCCCTTCGCCTCCCCCAGTTCTGCCTTACCCTAATCTCATACTGATGCTTCTTGGTGACCTTTTCCTCTTTTCTTTTTCTGACATCCTGGACAATTGAAAAGGGCATTAGTAAACTAAGGTCCCAGTCAGGAATTCCTCCCCCCGGCCCCCCCTGCTCCTTTTTCCCCAATCACCTGGGCTGTTTTTCTCCTCTTGGCTTGGATTATCTGGGCTTCTGGTGGGGAATCCGTCTGACTGGGCTGGGGCTGCTGCTTAGCTTGTAAACGGCTACTGTGGTGAATTTTTGAAAAGTTTAATTAGTAAGGCATGTATTCCGCACGCAGCGGCCAATTTCTGAAACATGTCTCCAAGACAAGAAATATTACCTGCGTCTTGACATTCTCTTCTTCCAGGTGTATGAAAACTCTTAAAAGGGGGGAAAAAAGAAAACCAGAGTCAAGTGGGTGTCATCCCTATTCTCAAAGCCAATCAGGTGACAGCCGGGCGCCTTCTCAGGTGACCCAGGCCCCCTTACCGCGCTGGCCCCTGCGCCCCTAGCGCTCTCGCGGTCATTATCTTGGGACACAAACCCTCATTTTTGAAGTGGATGTGCAGCCGGGGGCGACAGTAAGTGCCTGTAGAAATTGTCCCCCACGAACGCGCAAGGCAGGCAGGAAGGTCTCCCGGAAACGAGTCGTTTGCCCCCACCTCCCGCCCCGCGACCCTTGTCCCTCCTAAGCGGGGCTTGCGGGGCACCCCCGGGGGAGAGAGCTGTGGAGGCGCAGCGCTGTGGAGAAGCCGGTTCCGCGCCAATTTGGAGAGTGGCGGGGAGCAGGGGGCGGAGGAACCGAAGCTGGTGTCACGTCCTCCTGGGCGCTGCCCGCGCCTGCAGGGGCAACCGGACCCCCCATCGCCATCCCCCCCGCCAGCACTCCAGACGCGGGAAGCGTAAAGTGGGGGGGGGGGGCGCAAAGAAAGGGAGAAACCGCGCTGGGCTCAACTTTCCTCCCCGTGAAGGGACCAGGACCTCCCCTCTCGGGTCTCCCGCCGCATAGCTCTTCAAAGCAAGGCGGGACACCCAAATCCACCCTCCCCAAATCCCCAAGACCAAGGACTTCTGCCCTCAACTTTAGGGACGCCCTCCATCCCCTGTGGCTTTCCCGTCCCTTGCTGGGGTCCTGACAGGGAGAGATCGCGGGCGCCCATTCCCAGCAAGTCAGCCTGTCCCCAGCCGTCTTCACACTGCTTTTGCCCCCAGGTTCCCGCCCTCGGGATGGATCGACCCAGAAGGGCTTTCTTTCCTCCCAAAACCGCCTCCCTCCGCCCCTGTGCGCCCAACAACTCCTCACCGCCAGACCCGCCACCGCTCGGCTCTCAGCTGGCGCCGGCGCCAACCCAATATATAGGCCTGGCCGGGCCCGCCCCGCACGCATGCGCCGCACACTGACACCTCGGGCCAGCGCGCTCCCCTCCCCCGCCCGCCCGCCGGCCCGCGCGCGCGCCGCGCCAGGCCCTGCCCTCAGCGCGCGCCGACCCACCCGGGAACGCCTCGGCGGGCGCCCCGCGCCCCGCTTCACCGCGCCCGCACGGCCGGGCGGCGGCAGGGCGAAGAGGCGCCTCCTGAGAGCCAGGCGCCCCCGCCTTCAGCCGGTTCAGCTGGGTCTGTCAGGCCGCGGCTGCCACGGCCTGAGGCGAAGCGGGGAGGCGGCTGAGGAGAGCGTTCCATGCGGAGTGAGCGCACGGCGCAATCCTGAGGCGCGCCCCGGCGCTCCCGCCAAGGCCTCAGGGAAGCCGGGTTTTCCGGAGGGAACGCCGGGCCCGGTCGGGCACGCCCCCTGGAGGCGGGGCGCCGCGCTGGCTGGCGAGCCGACCAATGGCAGGCAACGGCGGCTGCACAACGTGGAGCGGCTCGGATGTAAACACAGCTCGGTGCGCCGCAGGACACGTGTGCCCGCGCGCGGCGGTCGGGGCCTGGGAGCCCGGGAGTCCGGGACCCCGGGGGCCCGGGGCCGCCCGCCTCGGCCCTCCAGCCCCAGCCTGGCCTCTGCAGCCCACCGCCTCGGCCCTCCAGCCCCAGCCTGGCCTCTGCAGCCCACCGCCTCGGCCCTCCAGCTCCAGCCGCGCTCCAGCCTGGCCTCTGCAGCCTACCGGCCGAGGTATGTTCCAATCCCGATGTTCCCCGTTCCCTGCCCCGGCCGATCGCGTCACCCTCCCCGTGGGCCGGCTCCGAGAGGCCCAGGCCCGCCCGCGCGGGAAACGCTCGCCCCGCAGCACCCGCCCTTTCCTCTGCTCCCAGCCTCCAAATCCCGGTCTCCCGCTGGACAAAACTCTCGGGAGCGGCCATAGAGGCATTCCTCCTGCTCTCGCTCGAGCCAGCGCGGCAGCCCCCTCCTCCCCATCCGAGGACCCTGCCGACGGGGAGAACGGTGGCCCGCACGCGCAGGCCTGGGTCCCGCCGTGCCCCGCCCAGCCCGGCCGCCAGCGCGCCCTGCGGAGCCCGCGCGAGCCGCCTGGCGGGAGAGAACCGCCCGCCCCCGAGCGCTCCTGGTTGGCGCCAGGCCCTGCGCGCGGTTCCTTCAGTTTACCCCCCCAGTGATCGAGCTTGGGATTGGGGGAGCGGGGATACCCATCTTCCTCTGTTGACGCCCCCGCCCCAACCCGGGACAACACATCTCCAACTGCGACCCGCGGATGGACTCCGCAAACAGGTTTTGCATGGACAGCTCCCAGAACAAAGCCGCTGGAGGCGGGCAGCTCCCTCTAACCCGCGGCCTCAGGGGCCGGGGGCGGGCAGATCGGTGGTGTCCGAGCTCCCGGGCTCCCAGAGCATCTGGGGCCGAGCGCGGAGCCCTTCCCGAGATGCACCAGGCGGCGGTGCACCACCCGGCCTTTGTGCAGCGCGCACTGAGCACTGCGGGGAGTCTGCTCTCCCGGGGTCCCGGGCCGGCAGGTCCTTGCACGCTTCTTGCAACCTCCTGATACGGGCAGAGGAGTTCTCTCGCCTCTAAAGTTTTCGCCTAATGGCTTTGCCCAGGATGACACAGAATGAGAAGGAGCCGGTGCCAGTCTAGGAAAACTCATTGCACGCTCCGGCAGGACAGACGGCCGTTCCGTTTGCAGAGGACTCTAGCGCCTGCTGCGGCTCTAGGCTTAGAGCACTAATGGAGTCAGCCAGTCTGCCTTAGCTTAGCACACAGGAGGGGGCCAACAGGCGTGCTTGGGAATGAAAATATACCGAGAGCCAGAGCTGTGGGGGTTAGTCTTTGAATACACGTGGGTCACATCCTGCGGTGACTAGAGGACAACGGTGGTAAAAGAGAAGTTAGAATTCCAGGGCAGCCACGCCACAGCGCAAGTACTTGGTCCACAGGGATGCAGGGGTCTGTAAAAACTTGGGCTCTGCTCTCACATGGCTGGGCTCCCGCCTCTGCTGCTGCAGGCTGCTAAATCCCTCTTGGCGGGGGCGGTGAGGGATTCTCTAGAAAAGATGTAACAGGACACTCATCTCACGGGTTGTTTTAAAGAGTAAATTTGATAATACATACAGAGACATCGTCTCCCATATGTACCTATCACAGAGCAGATGTTCCTAAGTATCAGCTTTTCTTGCTTTTCCGCACCCCTCCGCCAGGAGAGATTTAAAAATTAGTGGAATAAACAAGACCAAATTATAAAATTTCTGCTCCCAGAAAATTTTGTTTTGTCATCTTTGGGTGCCCAAGTTTAAGCAGCATATTCTAATTTTTCATCATTTCATATTTCTTCAAGTTCATTTTAACTTCCTCTTTTTTCCACTCAGTTATAAAATTCAGCTGCTTTGAAATATATGCAGCTTTTTTTATACTTTGGAGAATTTTAAGCAAATTTTTCTGAAGTTTTGCTTTTGCTTAAAGTTAAGACACTATGGTGAATAAACTATTGACCCCTATAGTGTGTCTTTTGGATAGTTATTTGGTTACTGCCACATCAGTTTCCAGGATGATTCTTGGTGTCGTAGGTTTAAAGACAGCCAGGCTCAGCACACGCACGCCTTGGTCATTGCCTTGCTCTGCTGTTACCCTCCCCGCACAGCACAGTGTGAACTGTCCAGCTGTCTTATCTACAGGTAGGCCTTCAACCTTGTTTTGTTCATCTCTGGAGGTTTTTTTTTTTTTTTTTTTTTTTTTTTTTTAGTTGGAAAGGCAGAATTAGAGAAGGAGAGACAGAGAGATCTTCTGTCTGCTGGTTCACTAATCAAATGGCCGCCATGGCCGCGGCCAATTCCTCCATAATAATGTAAGTATGCATAGCATTAGTAGTTCAATATTTCTTCAGTGTTTTTCTTTTGGTGCAAAATTTGCTTTCAGCAAAATATAATTCCTAATACATTTCTATTTCCAACACTCCTGTCAAATTTCTTTTAAAATTGTTTTTTTAAGATTTATTTATTCTTCTTGGAAAGGCAGATTTACAGAGAGAAGAGACAGAGAAAGATCTTCCATCTGCTGGTTCACTCCTCAAGTGCAATGTCTGCAACTGAGCCATCCAAAGCCAGGAGCTTCTGGGTTTCTCACGAGGTTGCAGGGTCCGAAGGCTTTGGGCTGTCATCTACTGCTTTCCCACACCACAAGCAGGGAGCTGAAAGGAAAGTGGAACAGCCGGGATATGAACCAGCACCCATAGGATATCCCAGCACATGCAAGGTAAGGACTTTAGCCACTAGGCTCATGCACCGGGACCTCTTGTCAAATTATAATTGAGAGACAGGGGTCGTATTTTTGCCGGCCCACACCTTAAATGGCTCAAACATCCAGGGCCACGGCTAGGAAACAGGCATTCAGCCTGAGTCTCCTGTATGGCTGGCAGGAATCCAGTTCCTTTAGGACATCATCATGGCCTTCCCTAGTGTGTCTATTAGCAAGGAACTGGAGTCAGGAGCTTGAGCATGGGTGCTCAGCTATGGGATGCGCACAGTGCAGGCCTCTTGAACAGCAGACACCCGTTGCCTCACTAGCATTCATGCGTGGCCTGTTGTATTCGTTTTTGACGTATGTATTCATTTCTTCCTAGTGGAACTTCAGGGTCACAGAGTAAATATTTTAGCTTTATTTTTTTTTAAGTGTTTCTCTCTGGCTCTCCTTTTCTGTGTGAATCTGACTTTCCAGATTAATAAATCTTAAGATTTATTTTTTTTATTGGAAAAGCAGATATACAGAGAGGAGGAGAGACAGAGAGGAAGATCTTCTGTCTGATGGTTTACTCCCCAAGCGGGTGCAATGGCTGGAGCTGAGCCAATCTGAAGCCAGGAACCTGGAGCTCTTCTGGGTCTCCCACACGGGTGCAGGGTCTCAAAGCTTTGGGCCGTCTTCAACTGCATTCCCAGGTCACAGGCAGGGAGCTGGATGGGAAGCGGGGCCTTTGGCATTAGAATTGGCACCCATATGGGATCCCAGCACATGCA